TTTGGAAAATTGCACAATCTAACTTATCTGAGCTTTTTTAATAACTGTTTTAGTGGTGAAATTCCTACATCAATCTTCAACCTCACGAGTCTTTCTTTTTTGTCACTGTCATCAAATAAGCTAATAGGGTCTCCTCCTCGTAATGTAACTGGACTCTCATTTTTACATGAGATTCGAATGTATAATAATTTCATAACAGGTCATGTACCCTCTTGGTTGTTTTCTCTGCCTTCCTTATCCTCTTTAGACTTTGGAAACAATAGACTTACTGGACCTATTGACCATGTTGAGATGCCTAATATCATTTTACAAAATGTCTATTTGTTCAATAATGAAATAAGTGGTTCAATTCCTAGCTTCTTCTTTGATCTTGTGAATCTTACTAGTGTTGACCTTTCTTCAAATAACTTAACTGGCACCATTACAGCCACCATGCTTTCGAAGCTTGTATACCTTGGGTATCTTGATCTTTCCAATAATAGTTTGCTGTCTTTGAGCAATAATGGCACTAGTATCAACTATTCCTTTCCGAACCTTCAGTATTTATTATTCTCTTCTTGCAACATACACAAGTTCCCAAGTTTCTTAAGGAAGGCAGAGAAATTGCAAGAATTGGATATTTCCAAGAACAAGATTTCTGGTCAAATTCACAAATGGGAAATAGAAGGGATGTCAGTGAATATTTTAAACCTTGCTTATAACTTCTTGACTGATATAGTTTCATTCGGTTTTGGAAATCTTGAAGCTGTTGACCTGAGATCCAACTTACTACAAGCATCACTTCCCATTCTATCAACCACTTGGGATTCTATGCACCAACTCTACGTTTCAGGGAATAATTTGATTGGCGAAATCCCTTCTTCTTATTGCAATTATACTTTTCTTGGAGTTCTAGTCTTAGCTAATAATAGTTTGAGAGGGAAAATTCCAGAATGTCTTCGAAACTTGAGGCTCTCCATCTTGGATCTGCGGATGAATAAGTTCCATGGTAAGATTCCAAATTTATTTGTCAACAACAGTAATTTGGATACCCTTCATCTACATGGCAACCAGCTGGAAGGGATACTACCCCGATCCTTGGTTAATTGCAGTTACTTGGAAATTCTAGATGTGGGGAACAACAACTTGAATGATACATTTCCACATTGGTTAGGTGTTCTTACGTGGCTAAAAGTTCTCATCCTTCGAGCTAATCAATTTCATGGTGCTATCAGCAATTCTATGCCTGCATTTTACTTCTCTCAATTGAGAATCATTGATGTCGCGCAGAATGATTTTA